CCCCCCAAACGGCTTCTGACGGCGTCAGACGGGCCAGGAGCCCACCAAGACTGGTAGAACCTTGAGTTGCAACCTAAGCCTGCCCCTAGGTATTTCAGAATGGTTCCGAGTTTCCCCTGTTTGGTTTCAGACTGGTTTCAGACAGTCCTTTCTTTCAGCACTGAATAGCATGCTGGGTATACTACTAGTAGTGAGGTTAGTATACAGAACACTTAGCTGTGTCTGTTGTATGCTAACATTGAGGTTGTAGTATGTTAGTAGTCAGTACACAGAACTGTTAATATACAGAACGTTAATATTGAGGTTGATTGGGGTTAGTATGTTGTAGTCTGTGTCACGTGGTAGCTCTCGTCGGGCACCCCGCTCTTGCATGAACATGAATGCGATTCCCCCCCGCATATCCGAGCGCGACACGCTACTCCATAATAAGTGCACGCCCCCAATTAGATAACGAGCATGAATTACAATAGGGGGATTTGGTAGAAGCTTCCGACTCGGGAAACTCATAGGAGGGAGGGCGGAGCATAAAACTGGAAAAGGGAGGAGCATGGGGAAAGAGTTGGATAGGGGAAAGATCCGACAGCGGAGGATTAGGCGGAGGGTAACTAGTGTTTTTTAGCTTCAATCGGTTACGATTTCTTTGCGTCGTCACGTTTTGCACCACTCTGTCCGCAACCGTCCTGGCTCAAACAATTTACATGTCGGCTCATGCCGCGTCTTGACTGGAGCCACGGTGCGCCACGCATTGATTGTGTATGGATGGTATCGCTGGCTCTGGTTCCGAAAGTAATGAAGTTCTGATTGATGGTGGCGACGTGTCTGACGATCCACAGGCAGCAGTCGTGCCGCGCAGGATGCGCGCGGAAGTTCCTGGACGGCGGCGGGCAATCTTCCTTCTCGTTGTGTGTAATGCCGCCCTGTTCCCGAACTGGTGCCCACCAGATTTTCGCGGAGAGCCTGTGGAAGCGATTGGTTCCGTCTTCCTCAGTGGCGCCGTGCTCGCAGAGTGGACGCTGACATCGGATGCGGAAAATGATGAGATGATTTACATGGACAGTATAGCTCGCAAAGTGGTCTCTGCGCGGGAGGTTTACGGCAATGTCTTTTACTTAGCTGTGGAGACTCTGGAGTTATTGCATCGCCTTGAGGTGGATGACCCCCGCAACCTCAATCCGATGCAGCTTATCGCACAGGCTGGGGGCGCGCTCGCTGACAGAAGCCTTGGGGGACAATGCTCATTCGGGAACTGCATCACAGAGTGGCTGAGAGACGTGAGGCATCGCATCTTTTCAATCCGAGTGTGTCCTCGATTGTGCGCTGCAACGCTTCAGAAGAGATGGCAAGTGTTTCACGCCGTGGCCGTGACTAGAAAAATCAAAAGAGATCGAATGTTCGGTGGTCCCTCGCCAGCTGAGCTCAGCAAGTTCAGAAGCGAAGTGGACGCACTCGCTAGGGTCCAACATTGTGGTGTTGTTCAACGGCGTGCTCATTTTATCACTGCTATCCCAGTTGCAATCATATTGGATTGGCTCTGGGCGTCACGGCACCTCAAAGATGCAGCCAATATCAATGACGCCAAGAGGGACTGGGTCAGGGTGTTCTCGTCGAGCGCGGACACTCGCGCAGCCATGCTGGAAGACTCGTCGGTCATGAATCGCGAGACGCTCAGGCGTGCTCGCGTTCGGCTGGATTGCGTTGCGATGCTACTCACCAGGGCCTTCTTCGCCAACATCCCCGCCGACCACGCGAACTTGTACATTTTCTGTGATGGGAGCCCCCAGCATAGAGGCCTTGAGCTCTTCGCGTCGACGCTTGACGTGCACTTACCTGGACACCACCGTCGCATCTTGTTGCCCATGGTTTCTTTGGCGAAATGCTGCTTGGACACTCAAGGTGTGGGGGGCTCGTGAAATTTGCATGGGGGTCTGTAGTTGGATGCTTGTCCGAGCGCCTTGGGACCCGATGACAGCGACTGGGGCGGGGGAGGATGAGAGGTAGGCGGAATGGGGGGAACGCAGAGAGGAGGAGGGAGGCAATGGGAGGATGGGGGTCGACAGATGAGGAGAAGGATGAGAGGGATGATGAGGGCGACGAGGGCGCGGGGGGGGGACCACGTCGAGGAACGAGAAAGGTAAGTGCGAATGACGAGGTGGATGAGGAGGGCGCATGCGATCGGGACAAGGCCGCCCCACCCCACCCCCCACTGAGACCCGAATGCAAATTTGGCGCCCCCATCTGCGAAGGGAAAGTTGCTGCTCTTGTCTGGCAATTATTCCTCGTTGTTGGCCTGGCTTTGCTCCGCCCACTGTGCAATCGAGTATTGTCGATCACCGCTGACATGGGCGCGGAGAGCATAATCCCAAACATTCACGATATGTTACCCCAGCTGCTCCGATATTACGGATGCCCCCTACCAAGCTTGCCCGTGAGGACAGACAAATTGTTCCCCAGAGCGTTGCACATCCGAGGGTGGCGTCACACATGGGATTTAGTAATGCAGACTGCCCTCAATGGCTGCAGGTTCTGGCCAGGCTTCCTCGTGAAATTGAAAGCGATGGTGGCGTTCTTCCGCGACGTATCCAACGTGCAAGAACTTGTGCGGCACTTGCAGCGACGCGGCCGTGTGGGCGCTGCCCAGGTCCTCGGCAAGGTATCGCTGGCGCCGTTTGCAGAGTGGCGTTGGCACACCTTGCATCGCGAGCTGAAAGCATTGGGTAAAGTGTTGGGCACGCTACGTGATAACTTCGATGTGGCTTGGTTTGCGTTCGGTGACGCCGTCGGTGTACAGAGAGTTGCTGCGGCATTAGGCAGCGCAGAGTGGATGTGCCAATTCCACCGTATATCTGACTACACTGAGTGGATCGATTATGCTATGGGTTGGATTGGGAAGTGTGTCTGCCACCCCGACGATTCGTGTGCATGTTGGTGGCGTGGCCGTCGATTGAACTTAGCAAGGGATTTCTTATCGGACACGCTGGCGGAGATGCTTACGTTGGTGAATTCATTTACGGCTGGTCTGTTCCAAGGCGGTGTCTTTTTGTTTGGCGTAAGCATTACACCCCCGCTCGAGAGTTAGGGTTTCTTGAATGCATGTGCCCACGTACTCCCCGCCCGTGTTGTGCAATGCCGAGGGCGCCCCGAATCGCAATGCCGCAACTTAAGTGGATGATGGCAGTTGGATCTGCGGCTAGCGGAAGCGTCAATTAAATAAGGGGGAGGTGTCGAAGGCGAGGCGAGGTGGGAGGTGGGAAGAGATCGGATGAGGGGGAGGGACATGGCGATGGGGAGGGATGATGAGGGCCAGTGGGAGGGGGGGCGATGGAGGATGAGGGGCGAGGATGAGGATAATGCGTGCGTGGTAAGGGCACCTCTGCATTCCTCCACCCCCTGCCACACAGAAAGACATCTCACACTCACATAGGCGACGTGCACCTTTGGCAGCATGTATCTGGATTATGGCGCCTTACTGTTCACCTGGCTAAGCGAGCCTTCCACTACCTTGACACGCTGCCATGGCTACTGGCTCGATTGGACAAGCCCGGAGTGAAGGACACCTGCATTGCCCGATTTGGCCAAGTACGCCCTGACCAACATCATTATGTGACGCGTGAGTTCCTCGACGCAACGTTCCCGAACAACTTGAGGGCTGACGTCGACCACATATCCCCCAATGGTGGTAATATTATGCCGTGTCTACGGCGGGCGCTGGATGGGCTTCATGCTATTCCCATGGACGACGTTGTTGCTGAAAGCCCCCACGCCCGCGCCAAGAGGGCGTCATTAGGAGTACCGCACCACGGGTTTCCTTGGATGGCATCTACGAGCAGGTTGCTGCAGAACCTCAACGACGCTGATGAGATCCCTGGAGGTTTCCCCGTGGACTTGCAAACTGAGTGGGACAGGTATTCCAGCGTCATCAAGTTCAGGCGTGCATGGCGACCTGCACGGACGAAACCGAAGAATGTCATTCATCGCGTGTACCACTTGAACGCCCCGTGCGACGTCGACTCGGAGAGCGACCCTGCCGATGCTGACGACGACGAGCCACCTGGGCCTGGACCTGGCCACGACCACTCCCACGACAGAAACACAGACGACGACGGAGACAGTGCTGGAGGCGGCGAGGGCCCAGGCGACCCTGGGCGCAAGCGCCCCAAGAAGCGACGTAAAGGCAATGATGACGATAAGCATGGCAAGGATGGCAAGAAAAATGGGGGTGTCAGCTCATCTGGGGCACCGTCATTGGTTCGGTCTACCAGGGAATGCACATTACTCCGTGAATGGCTTTATGCATCCCTGGAGATGTACACCTACATCACCATAACAGTCCCGTCTGAGTTACACAGCGACGGATCCGAGACTGTAATCCCCTACCAAGTGCTCGACAAAAGTACCAAAAGGAAGCAGGTTCAGACATTCGACGAGGACGGCGAGCAGCTCCCTGAGCTCGGTAACGTGGTTGTCCAGAGGATGGAGAAGTGGACCCCCGACCTGGACCATCTCACAGGTTTGCCTCCAGAGCTTGACGTCTACGCACGGGACGATCCAACCACAGTGGACGTCCTGCTCATGACTGGGACGTCGATGGGCGCAAGGCTCAAACTACTGCAATGGGACGTGCGGGAATCAGAGGTCGACGGGTGCATCACGCTCTTCGACGCCCACCCACTTCAATCGAAGCGACGGTTGAGCGAGAAGGGAGCACCGTTTCTTGCATTAGTCGATGCTCTTGAAGGCAGGGGTTGCGTGGGCACGCCCCACCACGTCGTGCACCAACCTGGCAACAAGGACCTGTACGACACCAGGGTGAAATTCAAGACGTACCTCAAGTGCGTGCTCATGAAGGACGAGTTGTTCGATAGGGGCTGCCCTTCGTTCGACAGTTCGCAGCTATCCATATATTACGAAGTTCTGTTGAAACTACCCTCCGTCAGCCCAGGACTTACCGCGCTGGAGTACCGACAGCTACTGGGGCGCAAGGACGTGCCACCCAATGCTGCCATGATGGAGTTGCTGGACAATCGGGCGGCAATACTGCCAGTGATCAAGGAGCCTCGGAAATCGAAACAGAGCGTAGTTGGAGAATCGCCACCTGAGCAGCAACCAAGTGCATCGTCGTCCTCTGAGCGGCCAGCGGTGGACCCCCCAACTGTGGCGACTGGTGCTTCCTCCACTGGGCCTAAGCCCAAGATCGACGTAAGCGTAGGTGAGTTGGAACTTGCAGAAGACGGTTTCCCTATGTATTTGCACGGGTGCAGGCTCAAGCGGGAAGTCGAGAAGACGGGGCGGGTCGGCTTGAGGGTGGCGTGCCCGAGTGTTGACCATTGCAATGCTGGCCTGTGCTCGAAGTACCGACCCATCACGATAGACGTTGCGAAGTTCGGACAGCGTGCGCCAGTGCTTTACCTCGGTGCATGGATCGATCGAGCCAGCACCGACAGCTTTGGCACTCATAAATGGTACAAGCCAACTCACAAGGACATTGCCGCGTATATGGAGAAGTATCCACATGCAGTGGGCTGAGCAACATCATCACATCATACAGCATCCCTCCTTCACCCCTCCCACCTCACCCTATCCCTCCTCGTCCCCGCCTCCTCCTCCTCCCCCTCCTCCTCCTCCTCCTCCGCCCTCGGTCCCCCATTGCCCCTCCTCCGCCGCCCCTCCACTGCCTTCCGTGCGCGTGCGTCTGAGTGCGAATAATGTGCCGTGCCAAGCCGTGCGCGAGCTGCTGTGTGAGTGTGAATGCGAAGATGTGCGCGAGTGGCGGCACAATGTCCTACTTGCGGCGCGAGTGTGAAGCATTGCGCGCTCGTGTCGGGACGCGCGTGCACCCCCGCACCCCCAATCTAGTCCTCCTCCTCTTCCTCCTCCTCCTCATCCTCCTCATCCTCCCCCTCCTCCTCCGAAAGGGGCCTCCGAGACCCCCTCTCCACCACCCCCATCCCCCCCCCTACCAGACGTACGACGTCCTCCTCCTCCTTCTCCTCCACATCCTCCTCCTACTCGCCCTCCTCATCCTCCTCCTTCCCCCCATGATCATGTTCATTCCCCATCCTCGTCGTCTAACCTCTCCGATTTCTCCCCTCCCCTCCCCTCTCCCCGCGCCCCGTTGGTCCTTTCCCAACAGCATTTGCAGTCGACAGTCGAGTCGCCATGTGGCCCCAGAGTACGCCCACTAAGTCTTGACCGCGTCGCTGTCGGCCCTGTCGGCCTAGAGCGATAATCGTGACAATTCGAGGTCTACCGATCTGCTCCAGAGTCCCCTGGGCGCCCGAGCGCCCTGCACCTTGTCATCGCCGTTCTCGGGGAGTTCAGTGTCAGGCGAAGGAGCTGTACTGAAGAAGAGGTTTGATGATAAGACTTTGTCTTGGGACTCCAACTCCAACTCCAACTCCTCCTCCTCCTCCTCCTCATCCTCATGCTCCCCTTCCTCGTCCTCCATATCCTCCTGCCTCCTCCTCATGCCTCCTCCTCCAGACACTTTCCGCCCCAGCCTCAGATCGCACAGGGGGTGGGCGGCCCCCCCCCCCCTCCCAGTCCCGCAGACGCGTGACCATCAGTCTCGCAAATCCGCCGACAGCGCTCTGCGGACAGCGTTTAGTCACGCTTGGAGACGCCCCCCCCCCCCAAAACAGGCGATCGGTAACGCAAAAAAGCTCGTGACACCAAGGCTCCCACCAGCGAACGGTGACGTGGCAAGGTCGTAACACCAAGGCTCCCAAGAGCGAGCAGTGACGTAAACGGTTCTCGAAACCAATGCTCCCGAGAGCGAGCGGCAGCGGAGGAGGAGGAGGAGGACGAGGAGGAGACAGGATGAGGAGGCAGGATGAGGATGATGAGGGGGGGGGGTAGGATGAGGATGCGGAGGGGGGGAGCGATCAGGAGCGATCAGATGAAAGGACAGCGTACGGCGCCATGGCCATCGGTGACCTGGCCCGCTTGAGGGTTAAAACTGAGGCCACAGCTTGGCCTCAGTTTTAACCCTCGGAAGTGGCAACTGGAGCCACTCCCTCGGGGGGTGGAACGCGACCGATGAGGAGGAGGAGGAGGTGTAGGGGGAGGAGGAGGAGGAGAAGGAGAAGGAGGAGGAGGAGGAGGAGGGGGAGGAGGAGGAGGAAGAGGAGGAGGATCATGAGGAGTAGGGTGAGGAGGGATGGGGTGTGAGGGAAGAGGGGGTGGGAAGAGGGTGAGTAGGAGGAGGAGGAGGAGGAGGAGAAAGAGAAATAGGAGGAGGAGGAGGAGGAGGAGGAGGAGAGAGTCCTTTTCGGCTTCATCCGGGCAAGTCAACAACAATAGTCTGATGGATCAAGGCAGTGTTGAACCAGGGCAGCGTGGCTGACCCGTGATGCGCTAGCACTCAAATACATGGAAAAACCTGAAACCAGCTGAAACCACCTGACACCAGTCTGAAACCAGTCTGACACCAACTGAAACCATCTGAAACCAGTCTGAAACCAGCTGAAACCAGTCTGAAACCAGTCTGAAACCAACCTGAAACCAACCTGAAACCAGTCTGAAACCAGTCTGAAACCAACCTGAAACCACTCAGGACACCAGTCTGAAACCAGTCTGAGTCGCGTTGTTGCAATATGAATAGTGCTGCGCCAACGAAGCGGTGACCACAGGCCCTGGGCCAAGTTAGTTGTCGTGGCTCGGCGCGCTCAGTCGGGGTGCGATCGACCCATTGTGTGTCGGGGTGCGCAGCCCGCCACGATGCGCTAGACCAGATCCTCGGCGGTTGTGGGGTGCCCCAACGCGCAACTGCGCCTCCCTATGTCGCGCGTGCCTTCCGATGCGTCTGTCTCTGCGCAAATCCTCCGTCGGCGCGGGCGCCCCTGCCAGACTGCGCAACTGGCCCCGTTGTTTGCCTTCAGGCCGACTCCTCGTTTATATTAATATTGGTCTACTTCTTCAATGGCCCGACCCCCCCCCCCCCCCATCCCCACGACATCCGTGAAGGCCGCGACTTCGCTGAACCTCGCTTGGCGTCGTTGCTGAACTTCATTGACCTGGCCATTGGCCAACGGCACGCTAACGACGTGTAACCCACTGGCACAACGAAATCATTCCCGCGCTTCCCGCGCACCCAATCGCAATGACAATATCGCCGATACTTACTGCGTTGTGGCCGCCGCGTGAATGACGCAAACTCGAAACGCGACCCCCCCCCCATTCCCCCCCTGTCCTCCCGTGGAACATCTGGACATCCGCGACGGACCGCCTCGGCGGCGCTGTGTATGGACTACATTGGCATTGACAACTTCACGCGAGCCGCGTGAAACACCATGATCGCTCGCCCCTGGTCACCATGCTCACGCGTATCTGATGCGGGGGGGGGGGGCATCGGCCACCTGCTGATTGCTGATTACCCTCTTCCAACTCCTGCCCCCGCCGCGCGAGCCCCGTGTGCGCTGACAGCGGCGCCTGGTGGTGGTGGCGGTGGTGGTGGTCGCGGCTGTGGTTGTGCTGGTGATGGTAGCGCGTGCAATTTCTTTTTTGGGGAGGGGGGTGCTCTTGGCGAGCGACCTCCCTGCCCCTCACCTCGTCGCAACGCCATGCTTTCCGCTTCATCAAGGCCCGCGCCCGCGAACGAGTTGGCGCTGAGCCTTGACGCAAAGTCGGGTCCTTGAACCCTCCGCATCCGCGCGCACTCGCGAATTCAAGGCCGCGCGCATCGGAACCGTGTCGGGCATGTCTGTGCCGTTCGCGTTTGTCGCCGTGCCGATCACACCGCAATGGGTACCGCCCCCTTGCTTGCCCTGCCCCGTCGAGGTCTGTGTTGTTCGGTCCGCCAAGCCGCTGCGTTCCGCCTGCATGGCCGCAGCGGCCATTCGCCGAACTTCAGGCGATGATCGCAACTTCCCGGTCCAAGCCTGCAAGCGGTGGCTGGGTGCGTGTCTGCGGCGCGGCTGGCGCAGCAACCTCGCCGCGCTAGCATCGACGCCGCGCGATCTGCCCCAGCCCCAGCCCCCCGCCCCCCCGCCCCGTGACTCCAGCCGAATGGTTTCGTGGGCGAGCCCATAGTGTGCGCCCTAATGATCGAGCTTGGTCCGACACTCGCACGATTCGAACACGCGCCCAATGACGGGGCAATGTTTGGAGGGGGGGGTGCTAGCCCGTGCTCCGCAGGGAGCAGTAACCAAATGCCTCGGGCTCTAATCAGCCTAAGCTTGTTCGGGCCTGCCCCCCCCCCCCCCCCTCCCCCCCCCCCCCCCCCCCTCCCCCCCCCCCCCCCCCACCCCCTCCCGCAGCGCCGAAGTTTGCACGCTCGCATGCGCGCGATTGCTCAGAACCAATCGGGAATGGGGGGGGGGGTCGCCGAGGGGTGATGTGTGCGCTTTGGGTTTCCTTGGGTCCGCTCGCGGGATGGAGTCAGTCTTCGCCCCACACACACACACGCACGCACGCACACACACACACACACACACACACACACACACACACACACACGCGCACGCACAAACGCACACACCACCTCACCACCGCAACCCCGCCCGCCACCACCACCACCTGCGGGCAACGCGCCCTCCGACCGAGCTGGGTCTGGGTCGCACGTTACACGGGGCCTCGGCGGCGCTGGATTGAACGCGGGGCACGTGCTATCCATCAGGAGATCCCGAGACATATTGGAGACCATTTGCATTGCTTGCGTTGAATTGTGCAGCGTGGCAAAAAAGGAGGATCGGGGAGGAGGAACCTATATGCGATGATGATGTCAATGGGCGGACTATCGGGCGGGGACAGGATATGCTGGGATTAGAACAGTGGCAAAACGGTGGCCGAGTAGGAAACAACATATTTGTTGTCCGCTGGGGCGTCTGGGAAGTGCGGTTAGTGCGTGTAGGGTTTGCGCGCGAGTGGCACCATGTTGTTTCCTCAATCCCACCCGCCGCATTGGCCTGCAGCCTGTTTGGCCCCCCCTGCTTTCTGAGAGTAGCATTCTTGAAGCTCTTGAAGCTTCCGAGCGTGCCAACGCACTCACTCACACGCACCCCCCCGTTCCCCCCCCCCCGTTGTGCCTGGAAGGGGCGCCGTGCTGTCTACGTGACCTTCTGTCGCCAAGGGATCTAGGCGGCAGAGGTGCAGCCCACGCGTCGCTCACTTTTGGCTCGAATATTTTGCAAGAGGAACTGTTCGTCTTGTCTTGCGTCAGCGACCTTTGCCAGCGTCGCGCGTCTTTTTACTTCTTCTCGGGGTTGCTGCCTGATGTCGGGGTCGGAGGGCGAGGCGCCCATGTGTCGGGTGTGCGGCGAGTCTGGCCCGACGTGCTTTTTCCAGAGGCACGAGGTGCACGCCCACTGCCGCAGCGGCTGGCGCGCCTGTTACAGGGCGGTCGGGGACAACAAGAAGGAAAAAGATAAACTTGACACGCTGAAGAACGAGGACCCCCAGGCGCTCAAGCAGAACATTCTCCCGTGGGTCCAGAAGCCTGGCTCTCAAACCAACCCTCGCCCGCAGCTGAGGCGGGATCTGGCCCAAGAGCTCAGGCAGGAGTACGAGGAGGACTACGCAGACAGCTT